TACCTCTTATACTATGCATCTAAGCCAAAAATACAACATGCTTATCTAAAACTACATGTTTATAGTAATATTATGTACTAATCTTGTGTAATATTAGGTGAAATATAAAAATCAATCATTCTCATTTGCATGAGAATTTACCAGGTCTTCGTGAAACAGGAAACCGTGTACAGTAGCGGTAAATCTGCCATATCAAAAGGCAGAGGGCTATAAGGAAAAGGACAACAGATATGCCCAAAATACTATATTCCAATTCCTCTGAAAATGACAGTTGAATTTCTCTGAAGGACAGACCCAAAACGGCAAAGAAAATCATGTCTTTCTGCCATGTACAGACCTGGAAATGAAGGACATAAAGTTACTTTTGTTGGAATTATTGATATTGGTTGATATTCATATTTATCCAGACAAGAATCAGATTTCTATAATACTGTATACACTGTTAGTAATATAGTATTTTACATAATATATAAAGTAAAAAAAGTATTTTTACATGTCAGTCTGTTTTGAGATACTGTTCAGGGAAAGACAAGTGTGGATTCTTGCAGGCTTCTGTGTACTAAATTTATTTTAAAAAGGAAAGCACTAATAAAAGAACCAAAGGCAGAAACCCTACCTTTTCAAGCTTTAATTTTCCTCCATTAGTTCCATTTTGCGAATAAACTACGACCGGAGCGGATCCATACTGAGACGCAGTTGACAGCGATCGCCTGACAGATGATCAGCAAACACAAGGGCAAACCTGTTTGATCACTTGTTCATTCAGGTCTTATTAAACAGGCTTCATCTGTGTTACTTTCTTGAATCTACAGCTGAACCATAAGATGGATATGATGCGTTTCATGTAGAACTGCCCTCTTCTTCTTTCTTTACTACTACACTGTGCAAATTCAATGGCCAGTTTATCACTGCGTGTATCCAAATAGCCACAGCATGTGAGATTAGATAATTGCTTATGGAAAAGAGTATCAGTATTGTATGGGAGAACCTCCATTTGCCTCTTAGAACTAAATAATATTCATAGAAATGTATATGTATATGAAAAAAACTGTAGATGATTCTATAATAAAATAGAAACAGTAGATTGATTATTATGATGCATAACTGTTCTGTGCAATGAGATATAGCTAAACATAAAGATATGGACTAAGCTGAACTGTTTATTTACTGTGTGTATGTGCATGTGTTTATAAGAAAATAGTTATGTCTTGAAATTTGTGTAAAGAAATAACACTATTCTGCCACCAAGAGATCAGAATATTCAAAGATGTTACAGAATACAGCTTTATTCATACATATACAGTTTTATGATTTAACAATAATAGCTAACTAATTTAATGTCAGTACAGTCTTTAATGTGAAAAGCCACCTACAACATTTTTATGCTTTACAAAGCTATAAATAAATAATAAATAGGCTAAAAGGTAGTTTTTATTGTCCTTTTCTGAGGACTGTTATACCCTGCTGTACGTTACGATTATAACTTAAATTCTGAATGTTATTCACAATTTTGGCTGTTTGTTGCAGTTAAACAAGAATAAGTGGTGAAAAGATTGTTAATTATTTACCAGACAAGATGTTATCATTATTTCAGTGCTTTTAATGCCAATATGTCACAATAATTTAATCATGGTCCATTCTTATTGCTGTCACATTCACCATCCCAAATAATAAAATAAAATTTCATAAGTACGGGGAAAATAAAAATAACCCTGAACAAGAATGTTGATTATTAAATATGTAAATATACATACATACATACATACATAGTTCATACATGTATAGCAAAACAAAAATAAAGCCTCTATTTCTGGCATCTAAAAAACAATCTGCAGCATCACCAAGGTAGTTGTTCACCAGTATAGTGAAGAAATTACCCATGATCCTTTTCAGTCAAACCACCAATCACAGACAACACACTGCAAATGCTTTCATCAGGGCTCAATGGTGCCTGTATACAAAACAATCAACAAACCACAAGAGTCTATCTCTCTTTTTAGACATTTTGTAACAATTTGCTTAGCAGATAGCTGTGATAAAGAACAGATAGAAGAAAGAGACTCACTTCAGGTCCACCCGTATCAGTGCGTACCCAGCCTGGGTGCAGAGCCATACACAGGATCCCATCTGCCTCCAGGTCCACTGCCAAGCATCTGGTGATCATGTTCAGTGCACTCTGATGCAAAGCAAATGCAACTCAGTATCTCAACTGATATATTCACATACATACTATTATAGTCTTCAATACAGAAAACTATGAAAGCCTGTTTTCACCACAGAAAAAAAAGGAATTGGATTTTTTTTTTTTTGAAATCTCACCGTTCAGACTTTGTTTCTCACAATTCTAAGAAAAAAGTGAGACTTGCAAGATACAAGCAATTCAGATTTTTTTTCTTGCATTAGCAAGTTTGTATCTTGTAATTCTGACTTTTTAAAAAGAAATTTTGAGAAAAAGGTCAGAATTGTGAGGTATAAACTCAGAATTCTGAGAAAAAAGTCAGAATTGTTAGATAAAATGTTCACAATTACCTTTTTATTTTTTTCATTGCGGAAACAGGCTTCCATAGAAAACTGTGCTTCAACAAAAGAATTAAAGGGTTAGTTCACCCAAAAATGAAAATTCTGTCATTAATTACTCACCCTCATGTCGTTCCAAACCCATAAGACCTTTGTTCATCTTTGAAACAGAAATTAAGATATTTTTGATGAAATCCTGGACCTATCTGACCCTACATAGACAGCAAGGGAACTACCATGTTCAAGGTCCAGAAAGGTAGTAAGGACATTGTTAAAATAGTCCATGTGATGACAGTGTTTCAACCATAATTTTACGAAGCATGAGAATACTTTTTGTGAGCAAAGAAAATAAAAATAACTTTATTCAACAATTTCTTCTCTGCTGGTCAGTATCCACCACCACTCACAAGAGTACCACGACGCAATACAAAAAGTGACTTAAATACAAATAGTATTCTCGTAGCTTCATAAAATTAAGGTTGAACTACTGATGTTACATGGACTATTTTATCAATGGCCTTACTACCTTTCTGGGCCTTGAACATAGTTGTTGCGTAGCTGTCTCTCAGATTTCATCAAAAATATCTTAATTTGTGTTCCGAAGATGTATGAAGGTCTTATGGGTATAGAACGACATGAGGGTGAGTAATTAATGACATAATTTTCATTTTTGGGTGAACTATCCCTATAAATGTTCATGAATATCCAAATTGACTTTCAGTGTAAACACTTATATTACTTTGTCCCTTCCCTGGGAATTAACACTTTTATCTTGACATTAAGCTCCAGGAGCACTATCACAAACCTTTGATGTTCTGTATGGGTACCATTTGAAGGTGTTGGCACGATCACTTCAGTACAGCTCAATTGAACCCAGTAGAGAAGTCATATTAATGACTGCTGCTCTGTGAATGCCCATCCCCTTCCCTGTGCCCTTTGCAGCTGCTCGCTTCAGCAGTGGGATCATGGCCTGCATGACAAGTTCAGTAAGTCAGAACGTTTTCAGACATTTGTGTTGAGAGTAGATATGTGTGCATATTGTGTCTGGATTTAATTTGAGAAATGAAACCTTGGTGATCATCAACGGGGTAACAGAGTTGGTATGGAAGTTTTCCAACATCTTGTCTGCGGTGACTGTCTCAAGGTTGGCAACTACATTAATTCCAGCATTGTTGATGAGACAGTTCAGACCTTCCTCTTGAACAAGCTGTTCCACCTCAGATGCAGCTCTCTCTATACTCTCCTGACATGTAACATCTAGCAACAGAGACGTCCACAATTAGAGTCAGATAAACAAACTCTTAATTTCAAATACAGCTTCTAGATCAATAGATTAAAAGATTCATAACTGGTGTCACTAGCCAAAAATGGGTAGCTAGTTCTTTATTTTATTTTTTTCCGCAGCGGGGAGAAAAACTAGACAACATGCATGCCCTCATCCACTAAATCATTAAGAAAAAAATGTAAGGTAAAAGAAAATCTGACTCTTCCCCGTTTTCATTAAGTTTAAGGCAGACACATTTGTTGTTGTTTATGCATTTATAAAACTGTCAATTTTACGGTAGTTCATGGTAATGTTAATCCTTTAATTTAACCCTTGAGGGATTTTTTTTTTTTTTTTAACAATAAAAATGTGTGTGTTAGCTCGCCACCTAATGTCCAATAAAAAACTGGGTCAAGAAGCAAAACCAGTCGAGAACCACTTATCCAGATTAGACGTGCTTTAGTACTTACCCAGTTTAATAATGTGTGTTTTGATGTTCTTCTGCCAACATGTGCAACTCCTATAAAACAAACAGGCCTTTTAAACCATTGTAAACTTTTTTTTCTTTTATAATTATTACACGTGTGGCCTTTAGGTCCGCGTAATAATTAAAACTACATGAAATATCTTATTCTTTAAAAAAATTATCACTAAAAAGCTAAATAATATGTAACTTAACCTAAAATGTTCATGTTTAAATAATGCATGTTGATCGTAATTCTCAACTAGGCATGTGCACGTTCTCCTGCAGCCAAGATGACTGTAAATGATCTGGGGTTGGTTTCTAATGTTTGTACAGTAGGCCTAATGCAAATAGGCCTACTACTGTCTGCTCACAGCATTACCTTGGCTCCATCTGGATTGCGAGCAGTAGCGATAATCTTCCCAGGAGAGAAGCCTCCCGTTACCAGACTCAACTATCTGCAGCCCGAGGCCTCGACTGGCTCCGGTGACCGTTAGGTTTGAACAGTTTCAGTCATTTTGTCACTTTAATCGAGAACACGAGTTTAATTTCCTATCTTGAACGAGACGATACAAGTTAGATGACAGCACCGTCACGTGATCCGGGAATCGGCTGTCTCCATTGCGTCACCACAGTCGACAATTCCCTTATAGCTCCGCTTCACCATATTTAGAAGTAGCTTTATTATAAAATACAATCATGTGACCCACAAAATGATGTTTACATAAGCTTTCCCTAAAAAATTAAACACTCGAGTTTTCGTTGAGCTCACCTTTATTCTGTTGTTCATTGTTTAAACAGAGTCATACAGTACTACTCGTCACATTTCGATGTCTATTCCGGAGAACTTCGGGAGAAATTTCATAAATTTGCTTTAGGAACACAATAATTAGTTATACAAATATATATATTTGAACAGTTTTTCAAACCTGAATAATCCTTACAAACCATGGCATGTTCAACATTATCAACACCCACACACTAAACACGTAAAGCGTTTCTTAAACCATCAATTAACCACTGAAATATCAGTTATACTTTGTTCAGTTTTCATTCCAAAATTAATCTTAATTCAATTTTGTCCACAGATGCAGTGACAATTAAAAAAAAAAAATGTTTGACATGAGTTTTATGACAATCGATCATTACTAATAATGAGCTTACGCTGCAGTATAGAATAAGTGCCTTACAGTCATAAACATGTCTAAGAATGTGTTATGGCTCAAGAAGACCTTTGATGCCGAATCATCAGTTTGATAAGTGTAATTGTTTATGCTCCTCTAGGTGAAATGACCATGTTAAACTGGTTACAGCCCTTCAAAGATTTTGCAATTAATGTCCAAACATGAAATCTGGTTTACTCCTTTCAATGATTTCTCTAAAGCATATGGGGTAACTTTTCAATCACTCTTATTTAGTTATTGGTTTGAAAACAAAAACATGATTTTTAAATGTCATTAACTGTTCTATCGGAACATTTTGTACCATAAAAAAAAGACATTCTTATCAGTTCTGACACAGGAAATCGTGATAAGCGATATCCTTTAAAGCTTGTTTTTATCACTTTGAAAGGAAGAATCCTGCCTTAATTTATTGATTTTCTCACATTCAGAGTCATGAATTAATATTAATAATACCAAATCAAGTGAACTGGAAGTCTACATTAGTCCTATTTCATATCTGGTGCTAAAAGACATGCAGCAGAAGACTTTAAATCATTTAAATTACTTTTTCTTGCTCTGTCTGCTGAAACTACAGTCTCAGGAGCCAGCTTCACTTGGTAACAGCATGGATGGCGTGTGCTAGATATCCCACGTTTGCAGACGTCACACCAGCCACAGAGATCCGGCCGTCTTTTGTCATGTATATAGAGAATTCTTTAATCAGACGCTCCACCTGACAAAGAGCCATAAAGAAGACAAGCAGAGAAAAACCAGTGAGAAAAGGCTGACAGTGAAAATAGCTGAGGTCTTATCAGAGATTCCCAGAATGCACTTCCACTTGACTTGCCTGCTCCGGTTTGAGTCCCGTAAAGCAGAACATTCCAATCTGGTCAGTGACATGCTGCCAGTTGTGAGTGGAGCCCTCCTTCTTCAGGTTCGACACAAGCATCTCCCTCATCTTAATGATGCGGTCGGCCATGTCTTTCACCTCCACGAGCCTAAGAGAAAAACGGTAAAGCGACAGTCTGTAGAGCTCAGTTCTCATTGGCTGTGTTTGTGATGGGACTTTATCTCAGGACTCACCATTCTTTGTAGAGTTCAGGCGTGTTGAGAATGGTGGAGGCGATACGAGCTCCATTCATAGGGGGGTTGGAGTAGATGGGCCGAATGAGAATTTTCAGCTGGGATTCCACACGCTTAGCCTCTTCAGCATCCTTACAGACCACCGTGAAGCCCCCTACACGCTCACCTGAAGATACAAAGGTACAGAGCACTGACCTAGAGCACTTTTCTATTCTTAAGTATTATTAATAATAATATTTCAGTTAAAATACAAAGCATTATATCTCTCAAAATATGATAAATTTACACAAGAAGCAACACAGATTTTGTTTCACTTGTTTATAAGTTAAAAACTAGTGAAATTTTTTTTACTAGTGTAATAAAAAAAAAAACACTTACACTGCCATTCAAAAGTTCGGGGTCAGTAAGATTTTTTTAAAGAACTGAATACTTTCATTCAGCAAGGATGCAGTAAATTGATCAAAAGTGACAGTGTAAAGACATTTATATTGTTACAAAAGACTTATATTTCAAATAAATGCTGTTCTTTTGAACTTTCTAATAATAAAGAATGCTGGAAAAAATGTAGTTTCCACTAAAATAATTAAGCAACACAACTGTTTAACATAAATTATAATAAAATGTTTCTTGAGCACCAAATCGGCATGTTATAGTGGTTTTTGAAGGATCACGTGACACTAAAGACTGGGGCCTGTACCACGATGGTAGATGAACAAATTCAGAGTTAAGGCCCGTTCACACCGATAACGATAACTATAAAGATAACTATAAAAATAACGATATTAGCGTCCACACCAGCGAACGATATCGTCTGTTTATTCTAAGCGCACATGCATCTGCCGCTTTAAATTCTCGAGCTCGTTACAGCAGGATGGATTCTGATTGGCTGTCAATTTTTTATCGTTCATCAGCTGGAGAAAAATCATTTTGAAAGTGATTCCAATGATATCGTTTCTCTTTGTCTTTATCGTTATAGTTGTGGTGTGGACTCTGCTATTCTTTAATATGGAGAACGATTTTTAGAACTATATCTTTATCGTTATCTTTATAGTTATCGTTCTTGGTGTGAACGGGGCTTTACAGGATTAGTTTCGAGTTGACAAAATCAAACCACTCCAATCCAGCTTTGTTGGTACCATGATGCTGATCATCAACTTTCTTTGTCAACTCAGGCTTTGATCCTGAGTTTGTGGAGCACGTGCACATGAATGTGTGACATCACTGGCGAACAGCCAATCACGAGCCTTAGTTAAAGGTTAAAGGTTTTGCTAAAGGTTAAGAAATTGAAGAATATGATGAATTTAAATGCATTTACAATGAAAAAAGTACTTGTTCATGAAAGAGGACAAATAAAGGAAATTAACTAGCTTTATCAGTGCAGTCACAAGTGAAACTTAAGTTCGTTTATATAGTTGGAAATGTACAGCGATAGAGACTCGAACATGTAAGGTAACGTAGTCATTTTTAAAGCTTTATCTATTGATTCTACAGCTTATTTATATTACATACGATCTGTATATATTAACATTCATTTAAAATAAATGATTTATAATAACTGTTAAACTAAAATTGCTCGAGTGTAATGGATTAATTATAATATAAATCATATAAAATAACTCTTAAGTAATTAATGAATGTGTGACATCACTGGCGAACAGCCAATCACGAGCCTTAGTTAAAGGTTAAAGGTTTTGCTAAAGGTTAAGAAATTGAAGAATATGATGAATTTAAATGCATTTACAATGAAAAAAGTACTTGTTCATGAAAGAGGACAAATAAAGGAAATTAACTAGCTTTATCAGTGCAGTCACAAGTGAAACTTGTTATATACAGCGATAGAGACCCGAACATGTAAGGTCACGTAGTCATTTTTAAAGCATTATCTATTGATTCTACAGCTTATTTATATTACATACAAGCTGTATATATTAACATTCATTTTAAATAAATGATTTATAATAACTGATAAACTAAAATTGCTTGTGTGTAATGGATTAATAATAATATCAATCATATAATTATATAAATCATATAAAATAACTCTTAAGTAATTATCATTAAAGCCAGACAATTTTTTTTAGTAATAGTGACCTTTAATTTGGAGCAAGAGAAACTGGGAGAGTGACTTTTTTGTGTCAGAGTCAGACATGTGTCACTTTGTTAACATCTGATTGGTCCAATTTCAGTTTGAGATCTCTAACTCAGAACATAGCCTGCCCTGGAGCAAATTAGCTGTGGAGCATAAGTTTCTATGACAATGAACGCAGCTAAAAGCCAAGCCACTTTCATGATACCTAAAATCCAGGATTGGTGCCAACAAAACTGAAACTCACCTGGATAGCCAGCTAATCCGGCTTCATGGTACAGGCCCCTGGAGTCATGGCTGCTGAAAATTTAGCGTTGCTAAATTTTAGAGCTGTCAAGCGATTAATCGCATACAAAATAAAAGTTTTTGTTTGCATAATATATGTGTGTGTTCTGTGTATTTATTATGTATACAGTGGGTACGGAAAGTATTCAGACCCCCTTAAATTTTTCACTCTTTGTTATATTGCAGCCATTTGCTA